ACGCGGACGTGAGGCGACCGAGAGGTTTATGGCGGTTGGAGTTTTGGGGCAAGAGGATTCCTTGTGCTTCAAGTTATGCTTGGAGTGCAAGTCAAGACAATTAGTATTTTAGTAATGTTAGGATTTTATTTCCATATTGCTTTTATTTATTAGTAGTAGAAGATGTTAGGAGATTTACTAGTGTTAGGATTTCTATTATTGCAAGATTTAGGAGATCTAGTTTATTTAGGCTTAGATTTAATTTATGCACCTATACATACCCCATGTACATCATCATATTTTATAAGTTGAATGAAGTATTGAATTTGTGAGCCAATCTTGAGGGGGAACTGATTTTCTTAACGTATGTTTAAACAAGCGTGTTTACATACAGTGTCAGAGAGAAGGCCATTAGAGCGTCTTGAAGTCACAGTATCTAGGAGAAGGCCGTAGTGCGTCTGTTAGATACACCTATCGTGGATAAACGAAGGCCCTAGTGCGCGTTTATTCAGAACCCGGAATAGAATAAAGACACGATCCGTCATCATTGGTGCTTTCATTGAGAGAGGTTGATCGTGTTCTTTATCTATCTATCTTTTTTTCCTTTTCGGTTTTGCCTTTTGCTGAGGGGGCCGAATTTTTATTCTTTTGGTTCGAAAATTTTCGAATTTTTTATTCGAATTTTTTTCAATTTTTCGTGTTTAAAAAAAAAAAAGTGTCATCTTGTTAGTCCTTTGTTTGATTTTTTGTTCGGTTATTACCTTTTGTTGAGGGGCCGAATTTCTCTTTGTTTTATTTTTTATTTTTGTTCGAATTTTTAGAGTAAAAAAAAAAAATGTCTTACCCACCATTGGATGAGTTAGATTGGGAAGATCTGGAGATGTTGGAAGGTTTGGAAAGAGAGCTCACACCGTGGGAAGCAACATATCTTGATGAGCTTCATGAGCGAAGGAATATTGAAGAATATGAGCGTCAACTCATGGAAGCCCGAGAAGCGATGGTGATCGATGCTCATGACCATGAAGATGAAGGGGAGCTGAATTTTCTCATCCTTGGGGGCAAGGAAAGTCTTGAAGAGGAGGGGAATGATACGGAAGTGGAGTTTGGGACCGGCAAGCCTAGCAAGGGGGTAAAACGCAAAGGGTGCGCATCGACCCTTGATGCGCACGAATGGGCGAATGACGAGTACGCGGGCGTTGAACGGGACGCGCGCGAAGGGGATGGTAGCGGTAAGAAGCGAGCGGAAGCACGCACATATGGTACGGGCGCACGAGACCTAGTCCTCGCGGGACTAGGCATGGCAGGAGGGCGGCGTGCACGCGCAGGCGGGACGCGGCAGGGGCGAGATGCGCAAGACGGCGCGCGC